CCCTCTCTTTGTCTCTCTCCTGTGAGCTAATGGGCTTTAAAACAGACAAATAAAAACACTTTCAAACTTTTCTAAATTTCTGCAATAAAAGCCATATTCCCCTAAAGACACAGGTTATCTTCGTATGTGTATAAAGTACATGGCTTTAAAAATTATAGACATAAACCAATAAAAACTAAGGAGGCTTCAACATAATATTTGAGAAATGCAAATCAGTGCATAATAAGATGTCATTTTATATCCACTACAATGGCTATAATAAAAAAGGTATTAAGAAACATTGGAAAGACAGTCAATAAATTGGAATCTCATACATGACTGATAGAAGCTAAAATAATGCAGTCAGTCTGGAAGACAGTCTGATGTGATAGTTTCTTTAAAAGTTGAGTATAAATTCACCACACAATCCAGCAACTACACTCTTAAATATTCACCAGAGAGAAATGAAAACATGTCCACACCAACATTTTCACGTGGATTTTCTTGACAGCATTCTTCATAATATTTGAAAACTGGAAACAACCTAAATGTCCATCAATTGGTGAAAGGATAGACAAAATGTGGTATATCCATGTAATGTGATACTATTTGGCAATGCAAAAGAATAAACTATAGATACATGCCACCACATGGACAAATCTTACATGAAGAAGAAGAAATCATACAGAAAAAAACACACATTGTATGATTTAATTAGTAGAAATACACAGAAATGATAAAACTATGAAGACAGAAAGCAGATTACTGGTTGCCAGGGAAAGGGGTTTGGGAGAGGGAAGTAGGAATGGAGATTAATAACAAATGAGCACTGGGACCAGTAGATATATAATAGTTACATCACTGGACTCCCATATAGTTGATCATGGTTTGAGTCTCGGGCCCGGCAGCTTAAAATTCATGCTAGGTGTGTTTGCATGCATGCCCAAAATTCTAAGGGAGAAAGTAGGAAAAGGGATTACTGTCTAAAAAAAAAAAAAAAAAGAGAGAGAAAAGAAAAAAAATAAAATAATAAATGACCATTAAGATCATACTACTAATATAAAAATGTTTTTAAGTGGATTTATTTTGATGGATGGATAACTTGGTAAATAGACTAAAAACACTGAGTTTTATACTTATTGAGTTTTATACTTATACATATATGCAAAAATATCTAAATAAAATTATTTCAAAACATTTCAAAAGGAAAATGTCAACATGCATCAATATTTAATCTTGGTAAAATTCTTATTAGTTCCTCCTCTCATACCACCAATAAATAGGACTTAACTCTTTATTTGTTTATTTATTTTTGGAGAGAGAGATTTTTGCTATAGAGTGTGTGTGCTTGCCAGAGAAACAGAGAGATAGAAAGCAAGACATCACCCTCCAGAGCGATGGCCATGCCACAATCCTTCCTCCATTCTCCTCTCAGGATTTTGAAAATGCACACACATGTGCCCAGAGTAAATTTAAGCTGCCAGGTCCGGGACTCTAACCACGGTCGAGTACATGGGAGGCCAGCATCATAAATATTATGCAATCTGCAGACTTAAATTATCTTAAGAGTAAATAAAAGGCATGGAGTATATTAGAAAAATAAACTAACATGGATGTCTTAAACAATTTCTCCTATGGTTCCTTAGTTCTTCAAAACAGTAGATTATTTCCAATCTGATTAAATCTACCTATGTAATCTGTAAAAATTTCAAAAACAAAATAAACAAAACACAGAGTGACATAGAATTTCTTTCCACTGCTTTCTCAGAAAAAAAAAAAAAACTAGAAATGTTTTTAGAAGATTTATTATTCAACACAGAAAAACAGATTCTCTGTTTTGTATTTAATTCTTTGCTCCCAGACTCTTTGCCAAAAGATTCTTCTATTTTTGCAACCCACAATACATTTGTTTACTCCAGCTCAAGGTAATATGATTATCTTTGATAATAGAATTATTGTTTTAATCCACACACCACTTTAATTCCTTCAGATATTCATCACTCGGGTACCTTCTTTTTGACTCTGTCCAGTTAGGGCAATATAAATATCGTTTTGTGAGGATGTCAATTTTTTCCCTGTCTGACAAAACAAGAAAGCATTAGACAGATGGCTTAAGAAGAAAGTCAAAAGCAGTTATCAGTTGCCGAAGGGAGAAGAAAAAAATAAAGACAACATCTTGTCCATCAAGGAGCTCAGATCAAGAGTCTTTCATTTCTCAGATGACGACAGCTCCAGAGCTGTGAGCAACCAGAAAATAAGTAAGCAAAACCACCAAAGGTGTTGCTCCTTGGTTTCCACTATAATGTCGAGAACAGATAAACATGTCATTTGACTAGGAGGATTAGCCGAAACAAAAATTAAGTAAAATAGAAAAAGAAAGAAAATCGAATAGGGACATGTCAAATCTATTACCTTTGGGTAATCTGTCATCATGCTTTTCTGGGTGCTACTGATGAAAATGTACAAGAATAATAATCTATATCTACCTTCAATGATATAAAAGGATCCCAAATAGAAATTTATAATCCCCACATGAAGAGGTTTAGGCAACTGACATAGTTATTCACAGTTAAAAACAAGCCCGGGTTGGTATTCTGCGTTCAAACAGAAGTTTGCCCACTGGAGGCGGTAGGATTGAGTTCGTGTGTTCCCTATTGGTCTTTTCACAGACAGGAAGACCTTGTTTTTCAGGCCTCAGGAAACTGTTGATAGAATGAAGGAGGTTAGAACTGTGAGTGGATACCCTGAACCTGTGAGTCATCCATCACCCATTCACAACGGCATCCCGGATGGAAGAGAGATGAGGGTGAGCACATTTAATGAGGGGTGAGCTCTGAATGGACAGAAAAACAGTATTCTGAATGTTTGGAGACCAATTTCTTCAGGAGACTCATGAAAAATATTTTATTATGGATTTAAATCTCACTTTCCCTCTTCGTTTTCCACATTAGTCTCTGGCTTTAAGAAAAGAGTGAAAACTAGATTTCAAGATATTGAGAAAATTTGCTTACTGGCCAGGTTCCTCAGTTAATGCCTTATAGAATATGTTTAAGTATAAAGTATGTTGCAGTCTCTTTGGAATATAAGCCAGTTGAGTTCTGGTATCAAATCTGTTCCCAACTAGTTGGGTATTTAGCAAAGTCACTTAATTTCCTTATGTCCAGATGTCTCATTTGTGACAAGGTGATAATAATTTCTGGCAAACTCACTTTACATCACTTTGTAAGTATAGAATAAAATGATAAATGTAGTAGAATTTTAGGGAAAACCATTTCCTGAGGTTAAGTTGTCATTCTTATTAAAAAATGAGAATATCTCTTTGTTAACCCTTAGTTTACTTGAGGATGAAAGCCAGGGAAACTCCTCTAGGAAATGTCTAGGTTCTGGTTTACATTTCTTACATTATGGGGGGTGATAAAAGGCTGATCCTCAGACTTGACAAGTACAAAGTCCTATTCTTGGGCTGAAGTTTGAAGAGCCTCATTAATCATGCTCCATTGTGTTATAGGTTTTGTAAACATTGCAAAAGCATAAAGCACAGCCCTTCTCTTAGTGACATCTTTCCAACCTAACTCCAGGAAGCCTTTGAGATTTCCTTAAATGACTGGATTTCATTTCAGTCATTAGTTAACCCTGCTTGGTGGGTGACTTCAAATCCCACCAGGCAGAGGTAAGGGGATATGTATTCAAACAGTTCAAACATGGTTTGTCCCAGTCAAATAACCATTGAGAACAGTAGGAGGGCTTTCCTTTCTCAGGATAAGTTAAGTCATTCATGTGAATCACATAGTAGTCCACATTTATTTGCTTTTAGAAACAAATACTATAAAGTTATATAGTTAGAAAAAGAACACCAACAATCCTTCCTAAGAATATTTTGGGTGAGAATAAAAGACAAGTGTTATTTTTAGCTGATGTGTAAATTTTATTGGCAAAGCCTTTTATGTAGAAATAAGCTATTTTGAGAGAACCAAGAAGCCAGGCCATCATTGGGACCGTGGATCAGAGTACACTTGGTATATGCCAGGATTTGTCTGCACAAAGTTCTTCTGAACTTCTAAAGCCTCTGAAATGCTCTTATTTGTAAATATTGTGTTATTTATTTAATAACATTTTATTAATATTTTTCTGCCTAGAAGTGTTTCAAAGCACATCTATCATTTGGAATATATTCATATATTGTTATGCTTTGTTCTTAGTTATAATAGTAAAGATAGCAACAGAGTTAGTACAAACATAACCACACAAATACTTTTGAGGGTGGAATTTTTGCAGAAGATATAAATTATTTTAATGGAATTAATACTTCAGTTCAGTTTAAGAGTATATTAAATCTTAATTTCCAAGTTGTTTTGAGAGGTGCAAATACAGTAAATTGAATAGACGTGTTAATATGGCTCTTGTTACTGACTACGATCCCTTTATCAATTTACGTGCTAGGTAGACTCATGGCTATTGTGGTTAGAGACTGGCTCGACAAGGCAAATTATTCAGAATTAATGTAATTGCCAAGCTATCTTCCTTCCACCATGTAGGTAACATAGAAGAATTCACATCTTATAGAATGGCATTTATATATGTAGAAAAATTGTGTAGCTGAATCCAAGATAATCTGTAAACTCTTATGAATAAACGAGTCTCTCCTTCTCTCTCTCTCCAGATCTCACTACACACACACACACACACACACACACACCACACACATATGACAATGGATCACAATCAATAAAATGTGCTTATGGAAAATAAAACATGTATTTCTTATGCCTATAGCAGCAATCTTATTCAGATTTATCAGCGACCCTCATGTCTCTTCTACTTTCTAGAAGTTTTATATTTTTCATATTAATATTTTTCACATATGGAGGGACTTCAAAAAGCTCATGAAACTTTCTTTCTGGACCTGGCTGAGAAGGCACCATCATGGGGGTTGACATCTGCCATAAGGAGGACCGCAAGGTTGGAGGCAACGAGCCCAAGAGCCAGGACATCTACCTGAGGCTGTTGGTCAAGCTATACCTGTTTCTGGCCAGACGCACCAACTCCACCTGCAACCAAGTTGTACTGAAGAAGTTGTTCATGAGTCGCACACCATGAAAGGCCCCCTCTGTTCCTTTCCAGGATGATCTGCAAGATGAAGCTTTCTGGCTGGGAAAACAAAACTGCTGTGGTTGTGGAGACCATCACAGATGATGTGCGCATTCAGGAGGTGCGCAAGCTCAAGGTGTGTGCACTGCGTGTGACCAGCTGGGCCACATCCTCAAGGCTGGGGGCAAGATTCCTGCCTTCGTCAGTCACATCCTCAAGGCTGGGGGCAAGATCCCTGCCTTCGACCAGCTAGCCCTGGACTCCCCCAAGGGCTGTGGCACCGTCCTACTCTCCAGTCTTCGCAAGTGCTGCAAGATGTACCGACATTTCCTCAAGGTTCCCCCAAGGGCTGTGGCACCATCCTACTCTCTAGTCCTCGCAAGTGCTGCAAGGTGTACCGACATTTCCGCAAGGCCCCTGGAACCCCTCACAGCCACACCAAACCTTACGTCTGTTCCAAGGGCCGGAAGTTCGAGTGTGTCAGAGGCCAACGTGCCAGCTGAGGCTACAAAAACTAACCCTAGATCCTGCCCTGTTATTAAAAAGCTTTCGGATTTTGACAAAAAAAGAACTCATGAAAATTGTGCATTATGAAGAAACTATGAATAGATTTAAAAATATTTTGTACCAAAACAAACTAAGTATAATTAACACAAGTTAATGGAGGGTGTGAAAAGGTCAATCTGCTTATAATTAATCTAGTAGTATGAAATGCAAGAAAGGTATTATTTCCTGGTCCTGCATATCATAATCCAGTAAATATGTCTGGTTATTACATCATTATTTTGAACACTTATAGCATACTACATGTTCAGATTTAGTTAGTGTCTCAACAAAAAAAATCACATTCTTTTTACCACTCTTATGCCTTGTCTGCTTCTAATTTGGTTTATCTCTTTATACTTTTCCAGATTAAAAATCATCATTAGGGGCCAGCAAGTAATGTAGTTGTTAAGGTGCAAGAATCCTACATGGCCAACTTCACAAATGAACTCTCAAATCAGGTGGGTGTGCACCCATGCCCAAAATCCCAGGAGGACAATGGAGAAGGCATCGTGTCAGGGTCATTCCCCCTGGGCGGGGGAGGAGGGTGATTTCTTATTTTCTCTCTCTCTGGCAAGTGCAGGTGCCCTACGTCAAATACCTAAAATAAAAACAAAATCATCCTGATATGATCTTTCTTTCTCTCATCTCAGTACATGAATGGTATACACTTTTTATTACTTGTACCACTAAATATTTCTAAACCTACTATGTGCCAGGTACTGTATTTAGTGCTGGTCAACATGATAGCAACAATACTAGTTCTGGAGTAGATTATTGCGAAGACTTCACACAAGCTTGTGAAACTACAGTGCAATTCTAGTATATGCTAGATTGAAAGAAACATAAGGTTCTATAGATATAGAACTTAACAAGCTACTGGGTCAGGGGCTTCTTTAGTATGGCATGGAGTATTTCAGAAACTTATTTGAAATTGTTCACACTTTGCCAGGAATATCTGTTATGGAGGAAGAAGAAAAGAGAAGAGGCAAAGGTAATCATAGAACCGTAGGGTGAGTTTACAAAGGTCATCTTTATATTGAGAGAAATGGGGAGTCATGGAAGGTTTTTGTTAGTTTTTTTTTGAGACAATTTTTGCTATAGGGTTCATGTGTTTGCTAGAGAGACAGAAAGAGAGAAAGTGAGAAATTACGCCCTAGGAAGATGGCTATACCACAATCCTTTCTCCATTCTCCTTTCAGGATTTTGAATATGCACTCATATGTACCTGGTATGAGTTTCAAGCCATTGAGCCAGGGACACAAGCCCCATTGACCATGTGGGAGTCCAGTGCCTTAACCACTATGCCACCTTCTTGCCCTAGTAGGAGGTTTTAAAATAGCAGACTGATAAGATTCAGTTTGTACTTTTGCTACTCAAGTCTACCATAAACAATACATAAACAAATGAGTGTGGGTATTTTTCAATAAAACTATATTTATAAGATAAACTATAACCATTAGTTATTGTTTCAAACTGAGAGAGCCAATGATGAACTAAAATCGTGTATTTGGTCAGTGGCTACAAATACAGGAAAAGATTTCAGATTGCTGGCTTGGATAATCAGCAATGAGTAACCCTAAGGCACTGTGTTAAAATGTTACGTAGAATGTTATCGAAGTCAATGACATAATAATAGAAATGACTATAATTGGGAGGCTATGTTGAACAGACTTTGCAAAGACACTGAATTAGATTAAGCTCTGTAGAAGAGGGGCATGAGCTAGTCATTCTCCCATTAAAAAAAAAAATGAAGATTTAACTTTACACCTATAAAATGAATAATCATTTTTAAAACATATTAGTTAGGAAGACAGTATTTGTTTGAGTACCACTGAGTTCTAAAAATAAAAGGTGCTAGATACAGGCAAAGTATTACAACACAGCAATATGGACTATTTTGAAATGCTTAACAAAGAGTCACACATAAGCTGCAGAGACTGGGGGAAGTATGGAAACATTTACGAAAGGATGTGACTCACAGGAAAAGAGCCAATCTGAAAATTCAGAGAAATGTAGGGAGGAGACCAAGGAGAAATCCAGAGTGAAATGAAATAACGGTTTGGGGAGCAGATGGTGCAATACCTCATTCTTAAGAGATAAGATGAATGAAGAATCTGCCTTTTCTCTTTTAAAATGTTGCATAACATATTTTCTTTTTTTTTTCTTTTTTTTCTCGTAGGAGTGGTTGCATCTGCAATTCATCTTTATTCAAGATTGGAATTTTACCAACTTCTCAGATAACATCACTATTGTCATCTTAAAAATGGAATATCCTCGTGCTATTTTTTTCTCATTCTCTTCAACTCCATTTTTGCTTCCATCCTTCATATTCTGCAGAACAACATGGATTGGGTGAGGTGGCACCATAAAATGATGTTAAAATGTTTTGGCAACTCCTAATTACTGGGTTCTGCAAGACATTTGGGAGATATTATATACCACAAGTATAGGAAATCCCTTCCTGCTTTTGGCAGGCTTCTCTCTTGAACCATCACAGTTAGACCATCAACAAGAGAAGATGTAGTTTTTAAATTCTTGGCAAATATAACTTGGAACTTCAAGCTTTCATTGGTTTTAGCATCCAAAATCAAAAGATCTTGCCCATACCTCCACTGTTGCCACTCCACCAAACCCTAGTCTCTGAAAACTTGGTGTCAATATTTTCAGCATCTGGAAACTTTTGGCATTGAAAACACCACCAAACAATTAAACATTTCCTTTACATGTACATTGAGTCATGTCAATGTGCTTTAGATCTCAAGAACCCATCCAGGAACTGTCTAAATGTCCCCGTTTTAAAAGACATTGATATAAATGTCAAAAACCAATGACAGCAGAGTTGATGCCATTATGAGTTCTTAATTCAAATGTGACAAGCTCTGAGTACGTCCAGATGTATGTGTATAAGATTTCATTTTGCTTGCCCAGAAAAGAGCTATGAGGAACACGCTGGAGGCCATTTATTTAGATCATGCATGGATGTGTGTGTGTGCGTGCACGTGCATGTGTGTGTATAGTGTTTTATACTTTATATAGTTGTTTGCATATGTATATGCACACATAGATAGATGTATGTATAGTGGTTTACACTGTATATAGTGATTGATATATATATATATAACATATATATGTATACACAGAGGTTTGCATTTTCACACACACACAAATTAATTGCTCAAAAAGTAAAATGCATTACTTTTCTGTTTCCCAAAACACACATTCTAAGGCTCAGTACTTTAAAAGAATTCTCCCCCCACATCAAAAAAATCTTCTTAGTTATATTGTCATGTGGAAACAAGTACACAGATTTGAAAACATATCCTTGAGTTTTTGCCCTTAATAACATAGTTGTTTTAACAAAATAGGGCACAAGAAAAAAGTGCTACCTTTCTACCCAGTATACTGCTAGAATGCTACTGTGTCTAACCGGATTTAACCTCAAGTGCCCGGTGGATATTTTACCATATTGGGAATGTAAGGAAAAAATTCATTCTATCTCATCTAAAATATAACAGAATATCACATATTTATTTCAAAACATCTGCAGACTCATATATAATATTATTTTACTACTATAAGATAGACAAATAGATTCACACCCTAAGTAACGAAGGTTAACATGACTTGATTCTAATTTAATTTTCTTGTAGTAATGTGTCTGCATACAGCAGACAAATCGCCATATCTCTTTATGAAGGTCATTAAAAACATTCGAAAAGTGATATTTACCATTACTTGTAAAATCTTATAGTTTTGGCTGAAACAAATCCAAAGTAGGTGAACAAGATCATAACTCTTCAACATTTCATAGCCACAGTGCATAGGATACATTTTAGATCATTCAAAACACAAAATCAATGTTTTCACAAACTCATTTTAAGATGTCATATCTCAGCAAGGAACTACCTAAGTCATTTGGAGACTGTTCAGAGATTCTCTGCTTAAAATATGCTTATTAATCAGTATTATAATAGGCTGAACTCTGTAATGTGGGAAAAATCACCCCCGTCCACATGACACTGCTAATTATACCAATTTATAGATTGAAATACATTTTTAGTAACCTCTAGCCACATTACTTAAGAACTGTCAGAAAGTATAGTCTGCATATTTTCTGAACTTTGCATCTTCCTGAGCACAAATTTTATGCCCTTGAAGATGCATACCAGGCCTCTGAAAAGTAGTTTTCAGCCTCCTTCTTCAAGCCTCTCATAAGTAAGATATCTGCTGCTATTGTAAAGATTGTAGGTACTCAGGAAACAATAACTTTACTCCAGCAAATAATGACCGAGAACATGTTACACACATTTGATGAGCAAAGAGGCTCGGTGGTGAAGGTGCAACACTAAAGAGAAAACTGTCCTCGGTGTGATCCATCAGCATTTATTTTGTTGAAACGAGAGGAGAAAATGTCAAGTTGCTTTAGTTGACAAGAATGGTATGTATGTATCAGATAAAATCCACCAGTTATTTTCCAGGTCTAAATTACAGTTTTGCATTCATTCTAGATTTAATCTTTGTTTTTTTTTTTTTTCAAACAGGTACCTGCCAATTTCATTAGCTATCTGAAGCTTGTCAGAGTGATAAATTATTCTTGTAGTACTTTTCTGTTGATTCCAAGGCAAAATACAGGTTTCAAATATGTTGTTCCTTTGCTTTGCACTTCACTGTGAGTTTACAGAACAAACCATGAAATTAACAACTGAAACTGCAAAGAAATCATTCCTGGGTAGTTGTATAAACTTCAAAACCTATAAAGTTCACCAGGGGTAATTGGCAGGCAGAGAGGAGACTGATGATTCTGCTACCTACAGATAGGTCTTGTTCTTGAGATGTTCTCACCTTCAGTTGCTGCTGTCAGTTACTGCCCAAGGTCCACGGGGGTCCTCAGCTATATAATCCAATCTTATACCTTAACATCCACATGGACCCAAAATCCTGCCCCTTGATTGTCTATTTCTGAGATTGAACTACTCTGGACATTCCCCCCATCTTTTCTGAAAAGTCATAAAGAACATTTAGGGTCTAATGAAGTAAAGAAAAGAAAGGAGAAGGATTTCCCCTGATAGGATAAAGTGTTTAGCTTATCATCCCTAGCTTCCTTGAGCATCTGCTAGTCTTTCTTTTTAAAATGTTTTTTCACCTAGCTAATTAATTCCAGAAGCTATCATGAGTAGTGATGTCAGCAGGGAGTGAGAATAGAGTGGGTGAGGTTTCTAGACATTACCTAGACAGTTTTTCTTTTATCTCTTCTCTTTGTTTACATTTCTAGGTGAGGTTTCTTTTGAAGAAAATTTCATTAACCAAGAATGTTTAAAACCACTACACAAACTCTCTGGAGCCAGCCACCTCTGCTTTGTATGTGACAAACATGTGACGTGAGTTCCGCTTA